CAAAAAGAGGGACTGTTTACTTGTTTTGTATCAGCTACAGTGTCTTGTCTAGAACTGTGACTATAACAAGTGATAAACAGGTACTTATTGATTTTAATTAAATGATAAGCCATCCTTATTCCACCAAACCAACCTATCCCAGTGAGAGTTCTTTAAAGAACACCAAGAACATAAGCATTTTTTAAATTACATAAGTGTAGAACTTACAGATTTTTATGGCTTTCACTGTCTTTCACAGTGTTTCATCTACACCTAATTCAGCAGTGATATTTTAGTGACTTCCTTTTATTAAGTGTTCCTTGAAGCTCGCAACATAGATTTTGTAGGAAAAGCACAACTTTCTTTTCTCAGTCATACATCACTGATTTAGGAAATATTTAATTGAATTATGCACTTGAAACAACCAAGAACAATGGACACAAGCAGGGTTGGAAGCAAACACGTTGAAATCTTGGCCAACATGATTCAGGTCAGTAGGAACTGAAGGGCTTGGGTGTGCTGGGGAGTAACCTGCCAGCTTCAGGCCTTTGTCCTGCCAGGAGTGGAGGGTGTTAGACTATCGTGTCAGCCAAGTGGAAGCAGTCAAGGGAGTGTCTACTATCCTCTCTTCTTGGTGTATCAAGGAGAGAGGGCTTTGGCAGAAACGGATTTGTGCTCATCATCTGTCTTGGGTCCCTTTCCTATCAAGGGTGTATGTGGGTCATATACCCAAGCCAGCTGACATGGCTTAGTACATAGCCTTTGATCTGAAAACAACTCGAGGTTTACGGACTCAGGGGCCAGTCATCTTAGTCTCATTAGAACCAAAATCTACCCACCTGATCTGTCATCCCCTGACCACGAACCCTCAAAGGGCCAACAGAGCTCTGCTGGGCCTAGAAATCATGCCTTTTCCATCTCTGGGATGTATTCCCACTCTGAGTGTGTGCTTAGTCGTGTCTGACTCTTTGCAAACTCCATTGACTGTAGCCCAGAAGTATTCTCTGTCCTTGGGATTTTCCTGGCAAGAATACTGGAGTGGGTTGCCATTTCCTACTCCGGTGGATCTTCCCAACCCAGGGATCAAACCGGCATCTCTTGCACCTCCTGCATTGGCAGGCAGATCCTTTACCAATGCGCCATCTGGGAATTCTCTCCTCCCGACTTCCGGTCGGCAACCTGCACTGTTCACTACCCAGCCATACTTGTTCCCCATCTGCCACTTCGACATCCACTGCACTTTGGATAAGTCAAACATCGATTCTTAGGAGATAAGGTGTCCAGTTGACTTTGTATGGCCCCCTGCCACAACATGAATCATTTTTTATAATAGTCTGGGGAAACTTGGAAATTCTCCTTGTGTTATGTTCCCTTTGGAAGGGCAACCTCTAAGTTTAGTTCCAAGGTGTGTGTGCTCAGTCGCGTCCAACTCTTTGCAACCCCACAGATTGTATCTCGCCAGGCTCCTCTGTCTATGGAATTTCCCAGGCAAGAATATTGGAATGGGTTGCCATTTCCTATTCCAAGGGATCTTCCTGACCCAGGGACCGAACCAGCAACTCTTGCACCTCCTATGTTAGGAGGCAGATTCTTTACCACTGTGCCACCTGGGAAGCCCATTGACATTAATGACATTAAAGAATACTCGTTTTTCCTACTGATCATACTCAAGGGGCTGACATCACTTTTTTGTGAGCATGATCACAAACATGAAGGAAGCTGCCCCTGGTTACCACCCCTGAAAGAAGGAGGTGGTTGTTCAGTTGCTCAGTCATGTCCAACTCTTTGCAATCCCATGGCTGCCTCACACCAGGCTTCCTTGTCCTTCACTATCTCCTGGAGTTTGCTCATATTCGTGTCCTTTGAGTTGGTGATGCTCTCTAACCCATCTCATCCTCTGCTGCCCTCTTCTCCTTTTGCCTTCAATCTTTCTCAGCATCAGAGTCTTTTTCAGTGAGTCAACTCTTTGCATCAGGTAGCCAGAGTACTAGAGATTCAGCTTCAGCATCAATCCTTCCAATGAATCTTCAGGGTTGATGTCCTTTAGAATTGACTGGTTTATCTCCTTGCAGTCCAAGAGACCCTCAAGAGTCTCCTCCAGCACCTCAGTTCAAAAGCATCAACTCTTCAGTGCTCAGCCTCCTTCATGATCCAACACTCACATTGGTACAAGACTACTGGAAAAGCCATAGTTTTGATTATATAGATCTTTGTCAGCAGAGTGGTGTCTTTGCTCTTTATCATAGCTTTCCTTTCAAGAAACAGAGGTCTTTTAATTTCATGGCTGCAGTCGCCATCTGCAGTGATTTTGGAGCCCAAGAAAATAAAATCTGTCACTGCTTCCACTTTTTCCCCTTTTATTTTTCATGAAGTGATGGGACTGGATGCCATGATCTTAGTTTTTGGAATGTTTGAGTTTTAAGCCAGCTTTTTAACTCTCCTCTTTCACCCTCATCAAGAGGCACTTTAGTTCCTGTTGACTTTCTGCCATAAGGATGGTGTCATCTGCACATCTGAAGTTTTTGATATTTCTCCCAGCAATCTTGATTCCAGCTTGTGATTCATCCAGCCCAGCATTTCACAGGATGTACTCTGCATATAAGTTAAATAAATAGGATGACAACATACAGCCTTGACCTACTCCTTTTCCAATTTGGAACCAGTCTGTTGTTCCATGTCTGGTTCTAATTGTTGCTTCTTGACCTGCATACAGGTTTCTCAAGAGACAGGTAAGGTGGTCTGGTATTCCCATCTATTTAAAAATTTTCCACAGTTGATTATGATCCACACAGTCAAAGGCTTTAGTGTAGTCAATGAAGTAGAAGTAGATGTTTTTCTGGAATTCCCTTGCTTCCAATGGATGTTGTCAATTTGATCTCTGGTTTCTCTGCTTTTTATAAACCCAGTTTGTACATATGGAAGTTCTCTTTTCATATTCTGCTGAAGGCTAGTTTGAAGTATTTTGAGCATAACCTTACTAGCATGTGAAATGGGCACAATTGTCCGGTAGTTTTAACATTCTTTGGCACTGCCTTTCTTTGGAATTGGAATGAAAGCTGACTTTTTCCAGTCCTGTGGTCACTGCTAAGTTTTCCAAATTTGCTGGAATATTGAGTGCAGGACTTTAACAGCATCATCTTTTAGGATTTGAAATAGCTCAGCTGGAATTACCATCACCTCCACTAGCTTTGTCTGTAGTAATGTTTCCTAAGGCGCACTTGACTTTGAACTCCAGAATATCTGGCTGGCGGTAGGTGAGTGACCACACCATCATAGCTCTCTGGGTTATTAAGATCTTTTTTGTATAGTTCTGTGTATTCTTGCCACCTCTTCTTAATATCTTCTGCTTCTGTTAGGTCCTTACCATTTCTGTCCTTTATTGAGCCCATTCTTGCATGGAATATTCCCTTGGTATCTCTGATTTTCTTGAAGAGATCTCTAGTCTTTCCCATTCTGTTGTTTTCTTCTATTTCTTTGCACTGTTCATTGAAGAATGCCTTCTTATCTTTCCTTGCTATTCTCTGGAAAGAAGGAAGACTCTTTTGCAAATACGGGCTGGAGAAAAATACATGGAAAGTGTAACTGAAAATTGTGTGAAAATTACAGGGCAAACAGAAATATCATGTCAGTTAGATGAAAGCTCCATTCATAGAAAGCCAAAATGGAGTCAATTCAGCTGAATCAGTTTCTTAGTAAATTTAGTGATTTGGCCATTTTACTTGCTGGTTTAGAAGCAGCACAGAGTTCAGCAAACAGTGATGAGTTTTCCGTTTCTTCTGTGGATGTAATGAACAAAGGCGAGTTGCATTTTAGATTGATGGAAAGAACAATCAAATTAAATTTACAATTGCATCCAATCCTCTTTGACTCTTGTTTTCATTTTTCTCCTTGATTGTGGCATTTTCATGTTATTAATAGGTGGCTTGGGCTGTGGCTGTTCTCCACCTTAGTGTATTTGACTTGTTCTAGTTCCATCTTTTCTCACCCTGACTCCCATCCTCACTTGCTGGTATCTGGGCCACACTGGGCACTGCTGTGAGCTTGGGCTGTGATGGCTATAGCATCACACATGCCATATGGCATCACACATCCTTCTCCTTGGCCTGGCTCATCCAGCCTGGCAGAATGATGCTTTCTGCTTCTGGGCAGGGCAGCAGGCAGAGCCAGCCACTTAGTCCTCTGTCCACACCGTCTGCCCCCGCCTCCTCCCCTCCATCCTCTTCTGCCTGAGCAAGGTTGGCTTTCTTTTTCTCAAGCAGTTTTTCAAATACCAGTGATCCTTCCCCTAGATTCTGGAAAGGTGATGTTGGAAAACATTTGTCTCCAGGTGTTTCCTCATCTCCTTCTCTCTTAAGGCACTGAACTCTTGGATCTGCTTATCCTTCTTGTGATCACCTTTCAGATGACGTGGGGACAGGACCTTCCACACGTGAAATGACCAACTAAAAAGGCCCTCATGGAGAAAATGTACAGTTAACACCATTGATAAAATAGTCAAAATGTATTAGATGTGCCCAAGAAATGAATGCCACTGCCTGATCCCAGAGACAACTTCATTTGGAGGCAAATTTTAAAAAAATATGTTTTGGGGAGTTCTCTTTGAGTGTCCAGGCCCCTGAAAAGAAAGGCCTAAAGACTTCCTGGTCTAGAGACTTCCTTCTTTTACTAACCAAGTAGCAGAATCCGTTAGGTGGTCACCGTGGAACTGGGGCTTCTTCAGATCAAATGGTCCCACCATGACCTTCTCCGAAACCAACCATTTCATACCCAACATGGACCAAAGGAATAATCCACAGTGGCCAATCCTTGTGCTGGGAGCCATGTGCAATGCTTTCTTCAGTGGACTAGTTTGAAGGGCTTTGGTAGAAAGACGTTGCTAAAATATAATAATAAATAAAAGAACGCCACTCCTTCCTGCATCTGCTAAAAACAAACAAACAAAAAAACTGGGTAGAGGGGGATAAAAATGATCTGTCTCAACCCAAGAATATAATAACACTGCCTCTCTTTCCTTGTTTTAGGGAATGCTGTCGATTTTTTGGAGACAATGGCTTGACTTTGAAGGTGTTTTTTACCAAGGCAGCACCCTTTGGTGTTCTTTGGACACTCACAAACTACCTGTACTTACATGCAATAAAGAAAATAAACACTACGGATGTCTCCGTATTGTTCTGCTGCAACAAAGCTTTTGTGTTCTTGCTCTCATGGATCGTTCTCAGGGACAGGTTCATGGGAGTGAGGGTAAGTTGCTTATTCTCTGTCTTCCTCCCTCACTCAGTCATGCCAGCCAAAACCTGCCCATCGGCTTGCCTAACTCCATGTGCTGGACTGTTCAGCCTGAGCTGCTAACCACTCTCCTTCTGATTTGCAGCAGGAGGGGAGGCCAGCTGAAGGCCAGGCTCTTGGGGTGCCTTGCAAACCTTACTGCTTGCGAACCATTCTAGACAAGCGTTCATTAAAGCACCTTTCATTTCAAGCATTTCAACAAGCATTCCCTAAAGTGTGTGCCGGTTGGGGTCCCCCATTAGGGAAGGGGTGATGTATTCAGCCTGCCTCTCACAGTCCCTGCAGCCCAGAGCCCTCAGCTAACACTGCCATAACACTGATATCTAAAACTAAATGTTCTCATCCACGTGGACATGCCCTTTTGGTGGGCCATTTATCTGGGTGGTGTTTTCAGTGCTCAAGTGGGCCAGACACACTTAGAAAGTGAAAGTCACTTAGGCATGTCCGACTCTTTGTGACCCCATGGACTGTAGCCTGCCAGCCTCCTCTGTCCATGGGGATTCTCCAGGCAAGGATACTGGAATGGGTTGCCATTCCATTCAGGGGATCTTGCCAACCCAGGGATCGAACCCAGGTCCCCCCCTTTGCAGGTGGATTCTTTACCAGCTGAGCCACCAGGGAAGCCCAGTTCAAATTCTGAACACACTTAAGATGCACTTAAGCTTAGTTCAAATTTTGGAGGGACAGTTTCACTTCCTTCAACCCCAGAGGAAGGGAGAATGAAATGATACCCCTTGAATTACCTCTCGTTGTCACCTCTGAGACTGAGTCAATTCCCTTAAAATAGAGTCAAATTTAGCTAGTCATATTTTAGAACAGTTATATGAAATATGATAAATGTGGTATCAAACATGAGCCTACAGATAGAGGAGTCCACCCAGGATGAAGGAAATAGGTGACATTTAGCCTTGGAAAATGGCATCCCATTCCAGTATTCTTGTCTGGACAATTCCATGGTGGAGGAGCCTGGCCGGCTACAGTACGTGGGGTGGCAAAGTCGGACCTGACTGAGGAGCTGAGCAGGCCTTGTGACGGAGTCCTGGTGCCTTCCGCCTGTCGCCCTCTGGTGGCCGGGAGCTACCACTGCCCCACCGTCACGGTCACAGACAGGGACAGAAAGGATTTGACCAGGCTAGGTCTCTGCTGGTCAGAAAGCATCACTTACTCCTTCCTGCACCCTCAGAACATGTAGGAGGGCCAGGAAGCCAAGAGTCCTCTTGGACAGCAGTCCCATTAGAGGGAACCCCGCTGGCCCTCAGCAAAGGGGCAGATTCCAGGCTCTCTACTTGTGTCCTTGGCTCGCTGTCCTGGGAACAGTGACATCACCTTCATGGTGGCTTCACGCCCACCTAGTTACTCAAACAGCAGTGGGGACGTGAGTCAGCTGCTGAGTTGTATTTTTAGCTTGCAGTAGGGGGAAAATTTGTTTTGAGGCTTCGTGTTAATTTTGGAATAAGAACTCAGCTCACTGTGCCACCACAGAAAAGCTTTGAGCAAATAAACTATAGAATACATCTCCACAAGAGGTACAGCCAGCAGCAATCTGTCCAATAGCCTGCCTGACTGGATACTGAAGGCTCAGATGTCCTGGGGCCCATGGGTGGCTTTCTTTTGATGCCAAGAGCCAAGAAAATGCATGGCGGAGCACTCTTGGGGCATGACTCTAAAAGTCCAAAGCAGATTCCAGATGAGAACATTACTGAGGAAAGATGCTTCAAGGTTCATTGTGCATCGTGTGGAAGAAAAAGGTTTTGAGGTTAAGAGAAGGAGGTGTGAAAATACTGACTCACAGAGAGTAGAGTGACACACCCAGATCTTTATCTCATTGCTATGCACGGTCCCCCTCACATCCCTGAAGTATGGTTCGGTCCCACCATCCTGGCCACTTGCTTGGTCTGCACTGACCACTGCAGACTGAGCAGATTTTCATCTCGAGGCCTTCGGCACGAGGCCAGCACTGAAATTAAGACCCAGGAGCTGGTGCTGGGGATGGAATTTAGTAACCTGTAAAGCACCACGCAGTTCTAAGTCTCTCTGATAATCATCACCTCTCTTAGGAATAAGTGACGTGTCCTCTTAAGATCGTCCCACTCCAAGTCAAGGTGGGGCACCCTCTTCTCATCTTCAGGAGTTCAGAGAGCCTGAAAAAAATATGTAAGATGCCAGCAGCTGGGCAGAGTGACAGAGGTCACCCTGGAGAAGCAGGTGGAGATTTGAGTCCAGGATGAGGCCTAACACGCACACTTTTCTGAGACTTCTCTCGGACTGCTAGGTTAGCTGACCACCTCCTCCTGCTGGGTCATCGCCAGAGACTGAAGGGAACTGACACTCATTTCCATCCTGATGGCTGAGCACACTGGCCTGAGAGTCGCCCAGACATAGAGAATGGATGCTTGTGGAGAAGGCGACATAGAGGGCCTGCATTATTAAGGCAGTCACTCAAATCGTAAGAGTTGTGGTTCCTGGAAAAGAGTAGCAGGTCTGGGTCAGGTGGACAGACCAGGAAGAGCAAATGTTTATCTTCAAATGCTGGGGAGGTTGTGGCCACACGTGGCATCAGAGGCTAGTGTTTGAGAGGAGCCCAAGCTGGCCCCGAGGTCACCCCTTGACTCTGCGCTTGGATATGCTCTTCACATGTGTCCTGGCTCTCCAGGCTCGAGTCATAATGCAACAAGGAGGTGCTGTATCCTAGAGCTGAGGGACAAGGGTTTGGGTCCATCCACTCTCACAAGCTGTTGAATGTTAAACTAGTTACTTAACGTCTCTGAGACTTAATGACCTCATCTTAAAATACAGTTGTTGGCGACTTCCTTGGCAGTCTGGTGGTTAAGACTCCACCCTTCCAATGCAGGGGGCACAAGTTCAATCCCTGGTCAGGGTACTAGGAACCCACATGCATGGGGTGAGGCCAAAAAATAAAATAGAACACTAGTACTCATCTTGAGGAATAGTTGTAAGAGTGAAATAAAGTGATGCATGCCTGACACATGAAACCCCATAAATGTTTTCTTCTTTCACTGTTGTTATTCTTCTCATTCCTTCTCAAGTAGAGGGGTTTGATGGACCAGCCCCGTTCTTTGGGTGATAGTGTCAGAGGCTGACCGACACTTAGGAAGGCAGCTGGGTGCAGCAAAAGCAGCATGAGAATGAGAGCAAGCAGAATTCTGGAGATAGGAGAGATGGCCCCTCCTAAGCCAGAGCCCACCCAGCTGTGGTCAGCAGCTGGATAAAGGCCATGCCACCCCCAGTCCGCATCTCAAAGGAAAGGGCAGATGGCATTCTCAGCTGTTCAGAACCACCCACTCCAGCTAGAGCGTGCAAACCAGGAGGACTGGAGAAGCAGCAAGGTGGGCAGCTAAGAGACCATCTGAGTGGCCTCAAACCCCAGCAGCACGGTCCTGGACCTTTTGCAAGAGCAGGTCCCATCTCAGTCTGAGCCCAGCTGATGTTTTCCATAATTAACCCACTTGCAGCCTTTGGTGCAGTGCCACCCCTGAACAGTAACCCCCAGTGCTGACCTCGACTCCACCTTCTGTTTGGGAGGCTGTCCCCCGCCACATGAGCACAGCCTGGGGAAGGGCACAGAGTGTGGGGGAGCATGGGGTGGGGGGCTCATGGCCCAGATGCCTTTCCAGCCTCTGAAACAAGCGGGGTGAACTAGAGGGTCTGCTAATTCCTCCAGACTCTCTTGGCATCAGTGAGGGCAGTGCAGGACTTGGGAGGGAAAGGGCTGAGGGAAATATCCGTAAAAAATCAGCCTGTCCTTTCCCTTTTTTTAACTTCTCCAAACTGTACAAATCTAAAGCCCATCACAAACAAGGCTCCGCTTGGCAGAGGGCATGCAGCCCATCACATCTCTAGCAGGAGCGGGAAGCAGTGCTGGTCTGAGAGGCGTGCAGACTCCACCGAGGGCTGCACCTGCCTCGTCCCTTCCATGGTGCCCCTCTCCTCTCGGCCTGACGTCTGATGGGGAGCAGTGTGGCCGTGGGGGGTACGGGTGCATCAGTGAGTTGCTGGAGCCTGGATCCAGAGCCCCGGGGGTGGGGCACACAGGCAAGACCATGGTCAAGAGGTTAACTGGTAACATGCTGGCCTCAGGGTCTCCCACGTCCACGCTTCTTCCTCTTCTCCAGCTCATTTTTCCCAGTCAGAGTAGAGATGGCGGCTCCCCTCCTCTTGGTCTCAGGCCACTGTCAGTCATTTGTCTGGATCCCCGAGTCTTTGTTCAGTGGGATACCCTGGGGATGCAACAGGAAAGGGTGAGAAAGCAAGGGTGAGGGGAGGTAGGGAAATCCACTTTATTCCATCCTGAGACTCAGCATTCTCCCCCAGGGAGGCTGGGATCTAGAAGATGAGGACTATGTGAAACCACAGAACACACAGGACCAGCCTTACTGGAGAGTTCCTCTTACAGCAGGAAATAGGCCGGGGAACATTTCCAGGTATAAACCAAAAACCAGATATTTTAGAGAGTATAAAGTGTGAACTCCGCGCTTATTTTTTAAAGAGATCTGGCATCGTCAAAGGAATTTCAGGCTTGGGGAAGGATGCTCAGGTCTTCCCCCAAGATCCGTAGGGTATTTTTCAACTCTGCTCTGCTTTCGGGGATATCAGATGCAAGGAAAACCACCGGCTTCCCCTCTGGCATGGAGGTCAGGGTCCAGGTTCAGGGTCGGGGGTCCCAGGGAGCTGCCGATGCCCAGACAGTATGCCCTGAAATTGAGTTGCTTAAACCTGAGACTCATGGAGGGGACCTCCAAGAGGAGATACCCTGGATGTGAGCAGCTGGGGGGTGAGCACGGTCCCCAGTGCCATCTGGCAGAATGAACTCTCTGGTCTGGACTTGGCAAATGTTGGCTGGGAAGCCAGTGGCCACCCACACTCTCTATTTCTTGCCCCTTCCCTCAGCTCTTCTGCACAGGACAGCTCAGATGAAACCTTTTAGCTCTTTATGATTTGATCAATAGAGAAAGGAGAGTGAGGAGGTCCAAAATCTGCCCTCTAAGTCTTCAGGGAAGAATAACCCTGGTTCTCCTTCACTTCCTGAAACTTCATCCTTATGTTTGGAAAGACTCAGGTGCCTTTGGAGATTTGCCACATCACCTGGGGTGGAGTTGTGTTCTTCCCCGTCCCCCCCCCCCGCCCCCATTTCCTTCTTTTTCTAGTTAGTTCTCTCTCTGTTTACCCAGCTGCCTAGCCAGGTCCTACTGCCCCGTGCTGCATTTTTGTACTGTGCGGGCCCTCTGGAGCAGAGCCCACACTCCTTGCCCCGCCTGCTTTTGCACTTATCCCTGTTCTCCTGGCGGGGGAGGTCCCTGACTGTTCCTGTACCTCTTCTTCTTTCTTAGTGAAGAGCCATGCACAGTCCATGTAGCATTTGAATATAAAATATATGGCTTACGTGATGATGAGTGATAAAAGTGAAGCACTGAACCAGAAAGGGCTGGTAGACACAGCAGGCCTGGCGCTTCTCCAGGGAAGGATGACCCCCTGCTCTCTCAAGGGAAGGATGACCCCCTGCTCTCTCAAGGGCCCGCGTGAGGGCGGGTATGTCTTCATACTGCCTGAGGAATGCACGACCGCTCCAGCCTCTGAGCCCTGACACAGGGCCTTTCACTAACCCAAACACAGCATGGCTCAACCCTGCAGGAAAGCTCACTTCAGGTATCAGAGTAGAAATGGCAATGGCTTAAGAGGCGAGTCCTACTTTCTATTTATATATAGAAACACTGCCTTTGCAGTTAAACCTGAAATGTGTATCCCAGCTCTATGACTTCCAGCACGTTACCGAGCTTAAGTGCCCATATCTATAAAATGAAATAAATAACAATATCTACCTAGTCTGAGGATTTAATGAGAAAGTGCACAGAAAACACTTATGCCCTGGATCACTCAGTAAATGTTAGCCACTGGATATTTTTGCAGAAAGCAGAGGTCATTTGAACAGTCCGTAAGAGAGAGAAAACTCCCATAAATCCAGTTGTCAGAACTTGCACCGCCCACGTTTGTTCTGCCTCCAGCAGCCCCTCCCCACTTGCCGCCCAGCGACGTTTATGTAGCTCCAAGACCACCTCCGGTTAGAACAGGTACTTAGTGCTAAAGCATTTCTCCTTTAGGAAATGTTATCCCAAGTGCGTTTCTCTCCTGTGCACTCTGACGATTTTATTTTGCACAACAGGAATGTGTAAAGATCCCTGGAGCCCTTATTCCTCCTGAGGAGTTGAGGAGAACAGGGCTGGGAGCGGGGGCAAGGGTGGGAGCCAGGGGCTGGAGTGGTGGGCCCTCCAGTAGCTGAGGAAAGGAACCGCAGCGCCAGGGTTAAGACACTGTATGTAGCCCTGATGGGCCAGTGACACATGCCTTTCCAGAAGGTTCTACCGCTGGGGTGTAAAGGAGGGCCACGATCCGTGGTCGTGGTCACTCTGTGTTGAGATGTGAAATACATAGAAGCAGGACCTCCGGAAAGTTGGGAAGAACAGGCCTTAGTCATGACCGAAGAACCTGTCGTTGCGACTGTGACCACCCCGTCTGGCGGCCCCAGGAAACACATGGCCGGCCCTTCCCCGACATGACGCCAAGCCGCGGCTCTGCTCCTTGCCGTCAACCACTCCCGGTCCTCGGGTCACGCCAGGCTTTGCCGAGTGCCCCCTTCCAAGCAGGGACAAATATCCAGACAGGAGAGCAGCCTTTGCATGGGCTCCGAAGGACTGAAAAGGCGCCCTGCCGCCCTCCGCGGCACCCTCGCAGACATTCCTACCCCTGTCGGCACGTGGGGGCCCCTCCGACTCCCCGCCGCTGCTCTGACCACCGTGTCTTCCTTCCGTCCAGATCGTGGCTGCCATCCTCGCCATCGCTGGGATCGTGATGATGACCTACGCGGATGGCTTCCACAGCCACTCCGTCATCGGCATAGCCCTGGTGGTGGGCTCGGCATCCATGTCCGCTCTCTACAAGGTAGGCGCGGGGAGCGGGCTCGCTGGCTCTTCCTGGCCTGGCTGGCTGGGTGCTTTGAAGGAACCTTGGATGGAGCTGGTGCTTGAGGGTGAGCACCCGGCACCCTGAGCCTCGCGGTGCGGAGACGTGCGGCAGCTCTTGGCTCTGGCTTTCCAGACCTTTCCATCACTGGCCATACATTTGCAGCATTTGGGATAAAAGGGGTGGAAGGAGAGGTGGATCAACTGAGTTCGATGAGTGACTTACTTGTTTGGCCAGACAAGGGAGGATTGGGCCTCCCAGGTGACACTAGTGATGAAGAACCAGCATGCCAATGCAGGAGATATGAGAGATGTGGGTTTGATCCCTGGGCGGGGAAGATCCCCTGGAGGAGGGTGTAGCAACCCACTCCAGTACTCTTGCCTGGAGAACCCCATGGACAGAGGAGCCTGGCAGGCTACAGTCCATGGGGTCCCAAAAAGAGTCCAACAGGACTGAGGAGACTTAGCACCCAGGCACAGAGAAGGATCAGGGGCCTTAACTGCCTGCTTCTGTGTTTGGTCAGATAATTTCCCATCAGATTGGACATGAAAATTGGAATATCTCCTGCAGCTTTGAAATCTTTTATCACATGGTTTTTGAGGCCACCAGGACTCAACATGAATCCATGTGCATTTCAAGTATTGCTTTAGAGTGAATAAATAAAAGCACAATTACTATCATATGGAATTATAAAATATTTTTGACAAAATGCTGGGAACCATTGGAGGTGTGTGTGTGGCAGCTGCATGTCTAGAGAAGACAATTTTTTCCCCCGCACTTATCTCTCATCGTCTCTGCTCCATCACACCTCTCAACTGCTCTCCCTCTTTGCTTCCCCTTCTCTTCGGATCCCTGGTCAAGAATGCAAATATTTTCTGGTCTCCATGTTGGGAAACTGACCTGGAGGATTCAATGAAAAATTACATTTTAGCTTTGGGACTTAATGGCCAGACAGTCAGATAGAGAAAATAAATGACTGTAGAAAGTTCTGAGAAAAGGAACTTTTCCAGCATGGGGAGGAACACATTTGTGCGTTTGTAAAATGAAATTTATTTTTTAGCCTTGGCCTGAGACTGGTGATATCTTAGTTCCCTGACCAGGGATCAAACTTGCACTCCTTACATTGGAAGCTCGGAGTCTTAACCACTGGACCACCAGGGAAATCCAAACTGTACCTTCTTATCCTTCATCAGCTCCCTGCCCTTTGCCCTCAGAGAGAGAAACACAGCCCGTGAGGAATACATCTCACCCAGAGGATGTGATAGTCTAGTCCCATTCGTGACTCCAGAGCCACTGTCCAAATACAGAAAATACTTAAATACTCTGCTCTCGTCAATGAGCTTTATGCTAATGGGAAGCAGAGTGGATAGATACTCCGTCCACCACGAATACAAGTATTCTGATTTAGACTTACATTTCCAACTCCTCCACTGGCTGGTCTTTATCCAGAGAGGCTGGTGGGCAGAAGGGTAAAAGGACTTGACTTCATTTCCCTTTGCATGCTTCCTGCCCAGAAATGCCCAGAGATACCCCAAAGAGATGTGAAATGGCTGGAAGAGGAAGAAGGAGGAACACAGCAGAGGCTGAAATTGGACCATCAGTTCTGTAACTGTGAACAATGTAGTAAACACGGAGGCTGGACGGGGGCCTGCTTCCTCTGGGAGCTCAGCTTCCTGGCTTCTCCCGCCACCTTTGTCCCTTTCCTGGCTTTTCATGCATCTGAGATGTGTACAAACAGGGGCAAGAAATCCGTCGGGAGTGTTCCACTAAAAGCCCAGGCCGTGTCTGGAATGGGGGTGGTGGACTGGAGCAGAGGTAAGCTGTGAGTGTTGTAAAACCTCTCCCTTTGGTTTATAGGAAATGTCTTTGTAGCCAGATCCCTTTTTTGGGGGTGGGGCAGTGGTTTTCAAACTGTTCAGGGATGAATGTTAGGGGGTCCCCGAAAGGAATGTGTAATCGTGGCTTGCGTGTGTGATAAGTCGCGTCAATCAAGTCCGACTCTTTGCAACCCTATGGACCGTAGCCCTCCAGGCTCCTCTGTCCATGGGGTTCTCCAGGCATGAATGCTGGAGTGGGTTGCCATGCCCTCCTCCTGGGGGTCTTCCCAGCCCAGGGATCAAACCCGGGTCTCTTAGGTCTCCTGCATGGCAGGCGGATTCTTTACCACTAGCACCACTTGGAAGCCCATGCAATCGTGGCAGACACTTCTAATTTAAGTGACTTCTAATTTATGTGGCTTTCTCGTCTTCAATGCCATGAGGCTGCGATGCAGTGTCATGGATACAGCACAGAGGAATCAAGTGTGATGTGAAAACCCATGATTCCTGAAAATGCTCTCTGTGTACCCGAGGAGTAACTCTCCATCGCCACACTACTGAGCGTGGAGGAACCCTGCTGCCCTTCACTGAAGGCCACACGAGGTGGAATCTACCATCAGGTGGCTGTCGGCCCAGTGGTCCAGCCCCAGCTTAAAGTGCACTCGCTTCTCCGTGGCAAGTTGGAGTCCGAGGCAGACTGTCACACCCCCTCCTCTGCTCTCTCCGGCAGGTCCTGTTCAAGCTCCTCCTGGGCAGTGCTAAGTTTGGAGAAGCCGCCTTATTTCTTTCCATTCTGGGTGTGTTTAACATCCTCTTCATCACCTGTATTCCTGTCATCCTCTACTTTACCAAAGTGGAATACTGGAGCTCTTTTGATGACATTCCATGGGGAAACCTTTGTGGATTTTCAGTCCTCTTATTGAGTAAGTGGCGACTACCCTGCCAGAATCCCCAGAAAGCAGGGACTGACAAAATGGGATCCGGAAAGCTCCAGGGCATGGAAACTCATGCCCTGAAGGAGAAAAAAAAGCAAGTCTATTATTATCCTTAAGTTCTTCATGGTTTTCTAGGTCATTGTGTCACAAAAAGGAAAGCCTTTGTAATGATGACACTAGTTCTGATTCCAGGACTATGGTCGCTGTGGTAGTGACCATGGTCATGGTGGCTCTGAACAGTGAACTAGTGGCTAAGGGTAATAATAGTGCATTATTTATAGGGTTGGTTATTCCTGTTGTCGCCAAGCCATGTCCAGCTCTTCGCAGCCCCATGGACTGCAGCACGCCAGGCTTCCCTGTCCTTCACTATCTCCCCTAGTTTGTTCAAACTCATGTCCATTGAGTTGGTGATGCCATCCAACCATCTCATCCTCTGTCGCCCCCCTCTTCTCCTGCCCTCCATCCTTCCCAGAATCAGGGTCTTTTCCAATGAGTTGGTTCTCCACATCCAGTGGCCAAAGTATTGGCTTCAGCTTCAGCATCAGTCCTTCCATTGAATATAGGGCTGATTAGAAGTTGGTAGATTAATACTATAATAGGGAAGAAACTTTTGTATTCTATTACACATTTATCACTAAAAGGATGATGCCTACAAGCTTAAATTATACATATGCTCCCCAAATAATGTGCATTAAGCTAAAATACCTTTGTTTAGCTCACAGGAAATAACCTGACTAGACCTGCTTGTGAATGACTGTAGAGAGAAAGAAATTAACACACCCCTTCTGGAGACTGATGGGAACCAGGAAGTGTTTGACTCTACTCCTCCCCTTTCAGTATAAAAGGAGCCTGAATTCTAACCCAGACTAGATAGTTCTTTGGGACATGAACTCACCATCTTCTCGGTTTGCCAGCTTTATGAATAAAGTTGTCATTCCTTGCTCCAGCAACTGACCTTTCAATTATTGGCTTGTCGTGCAGCAAACGGTACAAGGTTGGAGTTGGTTAACAATCCACACAGAGCTCTTCGAACACTACCTGATAACGTTCAGTAAATATTATCACTATTAGTGTCATCATCACCATTACTTCATCAACATCATCATCCTCATCACCAGTAATTGCTATAAGGCTGGTCCTAGGCAGGGAAGCATCCAAGGAGGAGCCTCACCCATTTCTACCTAAAATGTGCATCCCAAAGCTCCTGATCATGGTCATCCCAGAATCACTGCCAGCAGCAGAAAATAGCAAAGTTAGTCAAGTAAGTAGGATAGCCCCATCCTCTTTTCTAGTGCCTTCTCACTGGTTAGCTTTTTAAAATTTCTTTCATCTTCTTCAGAGTTCAGGGAAGAGAAGAGACCGGAGTAATCAGGATGTTTGGCCCTAATCCCCAGTCCTGGAGCCCTTGCAGGAGCCCAAATCCCCTGAGTCAGAATAAAGAGCAAGACACCTAGACTCCAGCCTCCTCAGAGAAGCTGGGGTTGGATAGGCCATAAAGGATGGAAAATCAGGGCTGGGCATGCATAACACCTATCTTTTTATTCTTTATTTCAGCATTCAATATTGTATTAAATTTTGGAATTGCTGTTACATATCCTACTCTGATGTCTCTTGGAATCGTCCTCAGCGTACCTGTGAATGCAGGTAAACTTCTGTGGCTTTCTGTATCTGTTTGTAAACACACACACACAAACACACATGTGCACATACATACTCACATATCTTCTTGCTTGCTCGTACAGTGTACAGATTTAACCTCATGTATAGAAAGAAACCACTTGGGTAAAATATTGACGTTTGTGACACATGCAGTATTTTGTTCAGAGTGGATTGATTTTCACATATAACACCAAGGTACAGAAAGTCTAAAATCATCTTTATTTGAGCTAGTGTGAAGATCAGAGATGAATATCATTAATTTTATTAATAAGTAGAAACGAACAAGTCGCAGAAGAAAGTTTTTTAGTTTTCATAAGCAGCTTTCTAAAAGAGAATGCTAGCTCAGGGTATGGCAGGCATGAGATAGAGACACGTCCACAGCTACAGAAGTATGGACATTGCTCCCGGAGTCGCAGAAGAGAGCCCTCATCCAGCTGCTCAGGACCTCGCTCCGTGTTCCAATGGGGACTCACCAGCACACTCAGTCGGCAGCTCTCCTGAGGTGTGCCATCACCTGCTCCTCACCTCCCTCCTTTTCTGGCTCATGGTGCTATGAACTTTGGGTTTTCCTTCCAGAATCTCCCTGAGTCATACTCGACCTCCCTGTAGAATCTGTTTGTGAGTCACTTCCCAGAGCACTCACCCCTTTGACCTTGGCACACCTCCTACCAAAGCCATCTCCCGACCTGCCCACTTCTGGGCCATTAGAGGACTAGGCTCCCAGGGAGTGGCAACCCCATATCCTGTTCAGTCTGGTGATAATAAGCCTGGAAGCACAGGTAAAAACCACAGTCAACTTCCAGAGGTCTTCCTTGCGTCACATTCCGCACGATCTATATGTGCCTTACTCTGGTCCCAGACTCCTTGGGCCCAGCACCTGCCCAGAGGGAGGGTGACCAGGCCCCTCTCATAACCCCTCTGGGCCCTTATTTATCCCCTAAAAATGAAGGTTGTCCCTGAGTCATCACCTTGGTTGATAGGAGGACCACACGAAATGATTTATGAGGCAGAACTTCCAAAGGCAGGAAAAGCCCCTAAGCACCTGGAGAGCTGGTAGAAAAGTGGTCCAGCCTGTCTGTGTCCACACACTACAGGCTTCAGAAAAATAACTCATCAACATACCCCCAATGCCTCTTAGTGCATCAGAGCGTTCTTATTTCAAGGAGGCATATTCCAGGTGACCCTTGTAGAGAAGCTACTTGGACTGTATCATACAGCGAGAGGTTAATCGGAATCCTCTGCTACTTACCTGCACTTTAAGAGGGTCAGCAGTGTATCAGAGGAAGCAATGGCAATCAGTTCTCCAGGGGAGGAGGAGCAGAGGAGTCGGTGGTTCTCTGACCGTCAGAGCAGAGCCCTTGCTGGGCTCTCTGACACTCTCTCTAGCATAGCTCATGGGACTGGCTGACTGGCTCTGGTAAAGAATCCACTGTAAAGAATCCGCCTGCCATGCAGGAGACCGGGGTTTGATCCCTGGGTCAGGAGGATCCTCTGGAGAAGGAAATGGCAATCCACTCCAGTATTCTTGCCTAGAGAATTCTATAGACAGAGGAGCCTAGTGGGCTACAGTCCATGGGGTTGCAGGGAGTCGGACACAACTGAGCAACTAACACTTTCACTTTCTTTCATTTGTAAATTAACAGGCTGTTCTGCCAGTATTAAAAATTAAAGTGTTTCTGAATTAGAGGGAGATAGAAGAGGTGCTTTAATTCCACAAAAGAACTGCTAACAAAATGTATTTCTCAGTTTTACATTTTACCTCTCTGCCCACCCTCTAGATGGAGGTGAGAGGCGCAGGAAGAAGTGGCCGGGGGGTGGGCAAGAGGACTGGAGGAACAGGAAGGGAGATGACAGAGCAGCCCCCTCATGTGGCAGACAGGCGGGGTGGGTGATGCAGAGAGAGGGACAGCACGGCAGGCTTCAAAAGCTGCACGTGTAAGTCAGAAAAAACTCTTACAAACTGAGTTTTTCAAAAAAACAATCTGATTCTCCCTTGTGTGGAGTTCAGTTCAGTTCAGTTCAGTCACTCAGTCGTATCTGACCCTTGGTGACCCCATGGACTACAGCACTCCAGGCCTCCCTGTCCATCACCAACTCCCGGAGTTTACTCAAACTCATGTCCATCGAGTCAGTGATGCCATCCAGCCATCTCATCCTCTGTCGTCCCCTTCTCCTCCTGCCTTCAATCTTTCCCTGCATCAGTGTCTTTTCCAAGGAGTCAGTTCTTTGCATCAGGTGGCCAAAGTATTGGAGCTTCAGCTTCAGCATAAGTCCTTCCAATGAATATTCAGGACTGATTTCCTTTAGGATGGACTCGTTGGATCTCCTTGCAGTCCAAGGGACTCTCAAGAGTCTTCTCCAACACCACAGTTCAGAAGCATCAGTTCTTATTTATGCTCAGCTTTCTTTATGGTCCAACTCTCACATCCATACATGACTACCAGAAAAAGGATAGCTTTGACCAGATGGACGTTTGTTGGCAAAATAATGTCTCTGCTTTTTAATATGCAATCTAGGTTGATCAGAGCTCCTAGGTTGTCAAGGAGCAAGTGTCGTTTAATTTCATGGCTGTAGTCACCATCTGCAGTGATTTTGGAGCCCAAGAAAATAAACTCTCTCACTGTTTCCACTGTTTCCCCATCTATTTGCCATGAAGTGATCGGACCAGATGCCATGATTTTAGTTTTTTTAATGTTGAGTTTTAAACCAGCTTTTTTCACTCTCCTCTTTCACGTTCATCAAGAGGCTCTTTGCTTTCTGCCATAAGGGTGGTGTCACCACATATCTGAAATTATTGATATTTCTCCCAGCAATCTTGATTAAAGCTTGTGCTTCATCCAGCCCAGCATTTTTCATGATGTACTTCAGTTCAGTTCAGTCGCTCAGTCATGTCCAACTCTTTGCGACCCCATGAATTGCAGCACGCCAGGCCTCCCTGTCTATCACCAACTCCCAGAGTCCACTCAAACTCATGCCCATCAAGTCAGTGATGCCATCCAGCCATCTCATCCTCTGTCGTCCCCTTCTCCTCCCGCCCCCAACCCCTCCCAGCATCAGGGTCTTTTCCAGTGAGTCAACTCTTCGCATGAGGTGGACAAAGTACTGGAGTTTCAGCTTCAGCATCAGTCCTTCCAATGAACACCCAGGACTGATCTCCTTCAGGATGGACTGGTTGGATCTCCTTGCAGTCCAAGGGACTCTCAAGAGTCTTCTCCAACACCACAGTTCAAAAGCATAGATTTTTCGGTGCTCAGCCTTCCTCACAGTCCAACTCTCACGTCCATACATGACCACTGGAAAAACCATAGCCTTGACTAGATGGACCTTTGTTGGCAAAGTAATGTCTCTGCTTTTTAATATGCTGTCTAGGTTGGTCATAACTTTCCTCCCAAGGAGTAAGCATCTTTTAATTTCATGGCTGCTGTCACCATCTGCAGTGATTTTGGAGCCCAAAAAAATAAAGTCTGACACTGTTTCCACTCTCTCCCCATCTATTTCCCATGAAGTGATGGGACCAGATGCCATGATCTTAGTTTTCTGAATGTTGAGCTTTAAGCCAACTTTTTCACTCTCCTCTTTCACTTTCATCAAGAGGCTTTTTAGTTCCTCTTCACTTTCTGCCATAAGGGTGGTGTCATCTGCATCTCTGAGGTTATTAGCATGTAAGTTAAATAAGCAGGGTGACAGTATACAGCCTTGACATATTCCTTTTCCTATGTGGAACCAGTCTGTTTTTCCATGTCCAGTTCTAACTGTTGCTTCTTGACCTGCATACAGATTTCTCAGGAGGAAGGTAAGCTACTCTGGTATTCCCATCTCTTTAAGAATTTTCCACAACAGTGATCCACACAGTCAAAGGCTTCAGTGTAGTCAGTAAAGCAGATGTTTTTCTGGAATTCTCTTGGTTTTTCTATGATCCAACGGATGTTGACAATTTGATCTCTTGTTCTTCTGCCTTTTCTAAATCCGGTTTGAACATCTGGAAGTTGTTAGTTCATGTACTCTTGAAGCCTAGCTTGGAGAATTTTGAGCATTACTTTGCTGGCTTGTGAGATGAGTGCAATTGTACGGTAGTTCGAACATTCTTTGGCATTGCCTTTCTTTGGGATTGGAATGAAAACTGACCTTTTCCAGTCCTGTGGCCACTACTGAGTTTTCCAAATTTGCTGGCATATTGAGTGAAGCACTTTCACAGCATCATCTTTTAGGATTTGAAATAGGTCAGCTGGAATTCCATCACCTCCATTAGCTTTGTTCATAGTGATGCTTCCTAAGGCCCACTTGATTTCTCATTCCAGGATGCCTGGCTCTAGATGAGTGATCACACCATCGTGGTTATGTGGGTCATGAAGATCTTTTTTGTATAGTTCTTCTGTGTATTCTTGCCACCTCTTCTTAATATCTTCTGCTTCTGTTAGGTCCATACCATTTCTGTCCTTTATTGAGCCCATCTTTGCATGAAATATTCCCTTGGTATCTCTAATTTTCTTGAAGAGATCTCTAGTGTTTCCCATTCTATTGTTTTCATCTATTTCTTTACATTGGAAATATGCAAAAATTGCATTGGAAATATGCTAAGGAAGGCTTTCTTATCTCTGCTTGCTATTCTTTGGAACTCTGCATTCAGATGGGTATATCTTTCCTTTCCTCCTTTGCCTTTCACTTCTCTTCTTTTCTCAGCTATTTGTAAGGCCTCCTCAGACAACCATTTTATGTGGAGGCCTGCCTCCAAATTTGCTTTGTTTGATTTGGTTAAGAAAAGAGAAAAAGAAAGCAAAAAAAGGAAAAGAAAACCAACTTCAGAATGCTTTTGATCGTTAGTTATGAAGAGAATGATGATCCAGGTTTGTACGAACTGATGTGAATCCTGTTCTCATTTTGTTCCCTCACCTCATCAGTCAGAAATGAGCTTCTTGGGCCTTTAATAAATGTTCATAATCAGTGATGACATAGGCGGCAATCGAGCCTCACGCTAATAATAACCTGGAGTGGAATAAAAGTTTGTATCTGTTACCTTCGAAGAATCAGGTTGAGTTTGGTCCTAAGAACATAAAAATATGGGACTTCCAGCAGTCCAGTGGTTAAGACTCTGTACTTCCAATGCAGGGGGCACACGTTTGATCCCTGGTTGGGGAGCTGGGATCCCACATGCCATGGGGTGCATCCAAAAATATAAAAATAAATAAAATCTTTTTAAAATGTGAAAAGCACCAAGACTGGAAAGAAGGCAATAACATTTTAATTGTCCTGGCACCCCAGAACTGGCCACAATTAATTTTGGTATATACTAGATTGGCTGAAAGTTCACTGGGATTTTTCCAGGACAGCGTATGAGAAACCCGAATGAACTTTTTAGCCAACCAGTATATATACAGGGCTTCCCAGGTGGCACTAGTGGTTAAAAAAAAAAACCACCTGCCAGTGCTGGAGATGCAAGAAACACAGGTTTGATCACTGGGTCAGGAAGATCCCCTGGAGTAGGAAGTGGCAATCCACCCCAGTATTCTTGTCTGGAAGATTCCATGGATAGAGGAGCCTGGACAGTTACAGTCTAGGGGATCGCAAAGAGTCCACTGAGCAACTGAGCACATACACACACAGACACACAATATGCACACACACACAATATATATATACACACACATATATATACACACACATACACACAATATGCACACACACACAATATATATACACACACACACACACACACACAATATATACACAATATATATACACACACACACAATATATATATACACACACACACAATTTATACACACACACAATATATATACACACACGCACAATATATATACACACACAATACACACACACACAATATATACACAATATATATATACACACACGCACAATATATACACACACACTATATATATACACATACACACACAATATACACACACATATATATACACACACATACAATACACACACAATATATATATATACACACACACGCACACACACAATATTTATACACACACAATACACACACAATATATATACACAATATATACACACACACAATATACACACACACAATATATACACACACAATATATATACACACACACACAATATATATACACACAATATACACACACACAATATATACACAATATATATATACACACACGCACAATATATACACACACACAATATATACACACACACACAATATACACACACATACAATACACACACAATATATATATACACACACACACAATACACACACACAATATATACACAATATATATATACACACACAATACACACACACACAATATATACACAATATATATATACACACACGCACAATATATACACACACACAATATACACACACATACAATACACACACACAATATATATACACACACACAATACACACACACAATATATACACAATATATATATACACACACGCACAATATATACACACACAATATATATACACACACACAATTTATACACACACACAATATACACACACACACAATATATACACAATATATATATACACACACGCACAATATATACACACACACAATATATATACACACACACACAATTTATACACACACACAATATATATACACACACACACAATTTATACACACACACAATATATATATACACACACAATATACACACACACAATGTATACACAATATATATACACACACGCACAATATATACACACACACAATATATATACACACACACACAATATACACACATATATGTACACACACATACAATACACACACACAATATATAAATATACACACACATGCACACACGCAATATTTATACACACACAATACACACACAATTTATACATGCACACACACACAATATATATACACACATACACACAATATATACACACAATTTATACACGCACACACACAATATATACACACACAATTTACACATGCACACACACACAATATACACACACACACTATATATACACACACACAATATATTCACACACACACTATATATATACACACACACAATATATACACACACACAATATATATTCACACATACACAATATACACACAATATATATATACATACACACATACACACACAATATACACACAATATATATATATATATATATATACACACACACACTATATATATATACACACACACAATATACACAGACACAATATATATATACACACACACGCACACACACAATATATATATACACACACTATATATATATACACACAATATATACAGACACAATATATATATACACACACACGCACACACACAATATATATATACACACAGACAATATACATATACACACACTATGTATATACACATACACACACAATATACACACACACAGTATATATATACACACACACTATATATATACACACAATATATACACACACACAATATATATATACACACACATACACAATATACACTATATATATATATACATACACACACTATACACACACACACTATATATATATACATGCACACACACACTATATATATATATACATGCATACACACACTATATATATATGTATATATACACACACACTATATATATATGTATATATATATATACACACACACACTATATATATACATACACACTATATACACACACACACACTATATATATGTATATATATATACACACACTATATATATACATACACACTATATATATATATATACACACACACTATATATATATATATATATACACACACTATATATATATACACACACACTATATATATATACACACACACACACTATATATATATGTATATACACACACACTATATATATATGTATATATACACACATACTATATATATATATACACACACTATATATATATACACACGCTATATATATATACACACACACTATATATATATACACACACACACTATATATATATGTATACACACACACTATATATATATGTATATACACACACACTATATATATATGTATATATACACACATACTATATATATATATACACACACTATATATATATACACACTATATATACACACACACTATATATATATACACACACACACTATATATATATGTATATACACACACACTATATATATATGTATATATACACACATACTATATATATATATACACACACTATATATATATACACACACTATATATATATACACACACACACACTATACACACACACACACACACACACACACACACATCTCTAAGTGCCCTTGTGTTTTGTTTTGTCTCTCACACAAGTCGATGTCCAAACTAAGGTGCCAGGTCAGGTCAGTCTGGGGAAGTGAAAGCTGGTGCAAGGCCTCCCCCCAGCCAGCGTTCCTAAAGTTAGGGGGGATTTGCTGGTGGCACCTCTGCCTACCTGGTCAAGGGAGCACAGCGTCCGCCCTGCAGAAAGGGCTGCCCCAGGCCCTGGCCTGGGGGGGGTCCCCCACCTCCTGATTGCCCAGGCCTGTCGGCCCCTGGGTAACCTCTGTTCTCTGTCTCCTGCAGTGGTTGACCACTACACCAGTAAGATCGTTTTCAACGGCGTCCGGGTAATTGCCATCATCATCATCGGCCTGGGCTTCCTCCTCCTCCTCCTGCCTGAGGAGTGGGACGTCTGGTTGATTAAGCTGCTCACTCGCCTCAAAGTGAGGAAGAAGGAGGAGGCGGCTGAGGGTGGAGCGGACCTGGGCTTGGGGCTTCAGAGCAAGAGCAGAAGGGCCCGGCCCTCCTTCGCCCGCTGACCATCTGCCCTGAGACTCTGCAGCGACCGCTCACGAGGGGGATTTGGAATCTCTTCCTGACAGGGGGAACCTCAGCTTGGTGAGGTGTACATACCTGTACAGTTTTGGTAATCTGCAGTAAGTTATATGGTATTTATTGGCATGTCCAACTTGCTTGCACTTTTTTCACATCAGATCTTTCACTTAAGGGTACCGATTCAATACGGGAGAGAAAAGAAGAACCTCTCCACTCTTTTTACATGAATGTAAAGCAGCTTAAAATGATTCTTGCCTAGATTGCTTGGGATGACAGGTGTTCTCGACATGGCAGGGCAGATGTTTCAAATCTTTGCAACTGAAAATTATATTGCACACTGTGATTATTTCTCAGCGATGGTAGGTCATATTTTGTTTTATACCAGAGCTACACTCTTAATTTTAAGGGATTTCAATGAACCAAAAGATCACTCTGAGTTAACTGGGACAAATGGATTTCTGGATGGGTGGGTAGATGGGATGTGAAGAGCTGGAGCAGAAAAGGAAAATGGACTTGGAAAACCATCGACTGTGGCTAACCTGTGGCTAACTGTGGCGGTGATGATTAGAGGACAGGCTGAGCTGGGTAACAGAAGGGGGAAGTTAAGTCTTAGCCCCAGCTGGCTTGCCCTCACATGTTTGTGTAAGATCATGCAAGAGAAATTACAGTGCCTTCTACAGAATTTTTGTCTTTACCTATGTGAAGCGAGGTGACATTATAAGTCACTGGCGCCGTCTTATCATTTAGATGTAGAAATCTTTAAAAACAAACAAAATACTATATATGTGTGTGTATGTACAAAAATGGCAAAGCTGATGACCAGTGTCATAGAACACAGGTCACGGTGTGCATATGAGGCAGAGTCCGCAGAAGATGAATTGCTGGTTGCTTTTACTTCCTGACTAAGATGGAAAAATTATTTACTGAATCTGCAAACCTTTTTATGAAACTTTTAAGCACCAGGCTGTTTACTTCCACATTATAGGTCTGCCAGAAAATTCTATCTGTGATAGATCTGTAAAGAGGGATGAGGGGGTTAGAGTTTACTATTTTTGAAGTTTACATTGTTACATATCGAAATGGAAACCTTATTTTGAAATGTTGTCATAACCCAATGGTGCACTCTGTAACCATGGAGTCTTTTGTTTCCTAGGGGAAAGGGGTACTCATGACCTGAACTTTTTAGCAAATTATTATTCTCAGTTTCCATTACCTGTTTGGCCAAACAGATGAATAAACTATTTAAAAAAGAAGCATTCTGTGCTGTCTTAGCAGCAACTTTGTTCCTTTCCCACTAGGTAGATCTGACTTTCTGGCTTCCTCACCTGATATTCTTCTCCCAGCAAGCCCCATCCTCCTGCACCCTCAAGGCACAGAAATCCATACTGCCTCTTCGAGGGAAGAAAGTTCTTAATGCAGAGTTGCTTTCACAGCTTCCCTGGTGGCTCAGATGGTTAAAAAGTCTGCCTGCAATGCAGAAGACCTGGGTCCCATCCCTGGGTTGGGAAGGTCCCCTGGAGAAGGGTATGGCAACCCACTCCAGTATTCTTGCCTGGAGAATTCCGTGAACGAAGGAGCCTGGTGGGCTGGAGTCCATGGGATCGCAAAGAGTCAGACACAACTGAACGAGTAACACACTTTGCTTTCACAAAAGTGAAGTGCAGGGCGAAGGTCCAGCTCTGGAAGGAAATGTCTCGAGGCAGGGTTTCCCTCCTATCCTCCTGCCCCACCGCCCTCTCCTGGGATGCCTGCCTGCCCCCGTGGATCTCTGGTATGGCTTCTGCCTCCCTGTCCTGGGCAGCCCCGTCCCTGGCTCCCTTACACTTGCGCCTCAGAGTGGCAGCCTCAGTCCCTAAATTGACCTGGTCTCTTCAGCTCTGCTCCCACACCTGACTTCTGCCTGGCTCTAGAAGGAATTTAATGTAACGTGTGTATCACTGTTCCAGGCTGCTGCAGCCAGGGGCTCTGACTTCTTACATGTCTCATCCTCCGGCCACAGAGGGCCATGTTCTCTAAGAGGGCATGTGAACCGTGAGGCAGGCTCAGACCTGAGACCTTTTGCTGAAGTGCCTGCACCTGGACAAACCTCTCTTCCAGCAACAAATTACAAAAACAAAACAAAACTCTATGGGACTAAAAATAACTGCGTGCATGCACAGTTAGGGCAAAATTATGGACAGAGGATACAAAATAAACCAAAAAGCCCAGTTGCCATTTTTAAAGAGCCTGGAGCAAAAGTATCATGTCAGGAGGAAAAGCAGGGTACTGCACATGACCCCTGCACACAGCACCTCCTAGTTCAATTTAGTTCAGTCGCTCAGTCATGTCTCTCTTTGTGACCCCATGGACTGTAGCATGCAGGCTTCCCTGTCCATCACCAACTCCCAGAGCTTGCTCAAACTCATGTCCATCGAGTCAGTGATGCCATCCAACCAACCCCTTCTCCTCCTGCCTTCAGTCTTTCCCGGCGTCAGGGTCTTTTCCAAGGAGTCAGTTCTTTGCATCAGGTGGCCAAAGTATTGGAGCTTCAGCTTCAGCAGCAGTCCTTCCACTGAATATTCAGGACTGATTTCCTTTAGGATTGACTGGGTGGATCTCCTTGCAGTCCAAGGGTGCAGTTCAAGCACTGCCTAAGGGGTGGGCAAACCGTCTAAGCCACTCCTCTGGCCCGACCCGTGGACACACTCCTTCTTTCACCCCGTGTAAGGAATAAGCTTGCCTGACCTCAGGGAGCCAACAAGCAAGAGATCCTGTAGTTTGTTCCTGCTTCCCTTGGCTGCATCAGGGGCCCTGGTAAAAACTTGTCTGAGTTTCTTGTCTGGCCTCTAGTCAATTTCTATTGATTAAGGAGGCCAAGAACTCTGGTTGGTATCAAATTGAGAGGAGATGACAGCCTCTTTGGCATACCTTGTCCTGCCACCCACACATACAGCATCTACACCAGGTGTCCCCGGCCTCCAGATTCTAATGCCTGATGATCTGAAGTGAAGCTGATATAATAATAATTGAAATAAAGTGCATAATAAATGTAATGCTTGAATCATTCTGACACCATCCTCCTTCCCCAGTCCGTGGAAAAATTGCCTTCCAAGAAATCAGTCCCTGGTCCTAAGAAAGTTGGGGACCGCTGGTACATGGGCTCAGAATCTGGAGAGTGTCGCTGTCTAGGACAGGGCTGCCTGCCGTGCCTCCCCTGTGTGCTGTGAGCCCCTGGGAGTCACCTCCATGACTTCCTGGGCTCCCAACCTCCCCAGTTACACAGCCAAACATTTCCTTTGTAAGCCATAAAGTGAAAAACTGGGAAACCCTACACAGGACAGATTTACCTTATTCTTCCATGGGCATAAAAGACTATGAAGACCCCAAAGATGTGACAGTAGGGACTCAAAGAGATATTTGTAAACCTATCATCAGAGCTGCATTATTCACAGTAGCTAAGGTGTAGAAGCAACCCAGGTGTCCATCAGTGGATGAATGGCTAAACATGGTAAATACATATAGTGAAGTATTATTCAGCCTTCAAAAAGGAATGAAATTCTGATACAGGTTACAACTTGGATGAATCTTGAAGACATTATACTAGTCAAAAAAGCCAGTCACATAGGACAAATATTAACTGATTTCACTAATATGAGGTACCTAGCGTAGTCAGACTCAAAGAGACAGAAAGGAGAATGGTGGTTATTAGGGACCAGGAATCAGGAGTCATTGTTCAATGGGTACAGAATTTCAGCTTTGTAAGATTATTAAAAAGTTCTGGAGGTTGAAGGTGATGATGGTTGTACCACAATGTGAATGTACTTAATGCCACTGAACTGTGCACTTAGAAATGGTCCAAATGGTACATTTTATGTATAATTTACTCCAGTAAAAAAAGACTATGAAGATTAATATATGTGAAATTAAAAGTTTAAAACTTTCAGGAGAGGTTAATGTTTCTTCCAGAACATTATAAACATGAGTTGGGGGTTGGAGGATTTGAAAGATTATTTTTTTCCAGAAAGAATACAAACTACAACTCCCCCTACCCCCCGACCCCCTCCACCCCTACCACGCAGATTTCAAGAACTGGGATGAGCCATGTCAAACCAAGGAAGGATCCATGGACAGAAACTCTTGGGAAGGGATTCTTCCTGATGGGACCGTGGGCTGGCTTTGGGAAACAGGCTCCATTTTTTTGCTCTCCCTGGGGGATTGTCTGCCCTCTGGAGGACAGTCTGGAAAGAGCTAAAGAATTCTACCTCTGCTCCTTAAGGAATAAAAGTAAAACGAAGATGGACGGTATAAAGAGGATATGGGGCCTCCGCCACTCCAGCCCATCCCTCTCAGAATGTGGACATAGGAACCCAGCTGCAGTGCAGACCCGGAGCTCCTCCTTACTCGGGTTGTCACGGATAAAGAGAATGCAGAGACAGGAAGTTGTGGTTAGAGACCGACCTCCATAGAACAAGGGTGTTTCCAGATCTAGCCAACGATACATGGCACGGAGTTCTTTATCTTCAGTTTTGAATATAAATGCTTTATTCTAAAACTAGAATGGAGTTGTACAATCTTACATATGTGCCAACATTTCATAAATTGTATACTTCAAACAGGTAATTTTATGATATGTGAATTATATCTCAGTCTAGTGGTTTATGAAATGGTTGCCTCACAAAATGATTTAAAATTTCTTTGGCAAAATCTTACAAATATAAAGGACATTGTGGGGCGGTTGGCTTGGTTTTGGCTGCCCAGAATCTGATCCTTGTTGGAAGCAGCATTTTGCTATTGTTGCAGAAGTTGAAGGGAGCAGAGTCTGCATCTCAGATGCCAGCATCTGGTGGAGAGGGAGCCATATGAACTGAACTTTTGGGCTGCAGTCTCCCAGGACTTGGCCAGACCCCAAGGAACAACCCAGTAAAGCCTTGCTGACCGGTCAGTTCCCAAGTCCCTCCCGTTCCTCCTTTTTCCAAACAGGTCCTTTGGATACATACAGTCCCAA